TGCAGTTTTGGGTAACATAGTTCTGAAGCAGGGTATTCTGTTACAGTGATATTCCATAGTGGTTAGACGAGTTAGACTCCAGTATTTGACATTGGGGAAGTCATTGCAAGATTTCTCTGTGGTTTATCTACCTCCACCTGTTATCTCAGAATCTGCCTGAGGGGCCTAGATGGGTTCAATACTTCTTTTCTTTTCTTTTCTTTTTGGCAGTAAAGCATTTGAATCATTGTGGGTTTTCCATATTGTGAGTTCCTGTTCCTGCAGATCTCTGGCAAAACCTGCCAAGCCATCATGATGTTCCTGATAGGCGCTAGAGTTATGTGAAATGCTCAACCTTGAAAGTACCACATTCAATTCATCCAAGCCCCAAAAAAGAAACATTGCTTAACATTTGCCTTGTTCCCATGCCATTTGGCATGCTTTTGTTTTTCTAGGCTGCTGCTTCTTGGCAGAATTTTCCCTTCTTTGCTTCAAATGCCCCTACTATTATTTAATTTGGCTGTGGCGATCCATGGGATGGGCATCCGTGACATCATCACATTGGGCATAGTGTTACGATACTCTCTACAGATTCACAGGAGTCGCCATAGCCAATAGAATCAGGGCAGTGGGAGTAAGTGAGACCAAGGACTCTGAGGGCAAAAACAAAAACGGCATTGAGGAGAACAGTAGAGAACAATGCAAATGTGTTTGCAACAAGCACCAAAAATTGCTAAGATTCAGAGGTGCTTTTTGACACTCCAAAAAGAACATTAAGCGAGATGAGTGGTTTCAACTGAGCCCCAGTGCGCAGCTCATTGAGAATGCAAGAATGGGCCATATTTCATTCTCACCAAGGGGATTTTAGCCTGTTTCTCAGCACAGCTTTCTTCAGAATCAAGCTTTTCCCTGCTGAAAGGAAGAAGGGACCCTGACTGTTCCAATCAGAGTGGATTTTTGCCTCTTTCTCCAGCCTCTTTTTAACATCCAGGCCATTGCCCTGCAGCTGGCAGTGTGTGGTCAGCCATCAAAGGCTTGTGCTAACCCAAAAAAGTACAGAGGCTCGTTGCTGTTGTGGATTTCACAGGATATTTCTACCTTTCCATTTCTCACAGCCCATCCACTGTTTCGATAGACGTTGAATCATTTTTGCTCCAGCCGAATTGTTCTCTTTCTGCCTTGGTATCGCCGGCCCTTTATAAAATATATCCCTCAGCATTCCTGTAACAATGTGTTATTTCTCTTCCATTAGACCCTTGGCTTAGACTTGTGGTAGCTAAGCCCCCACTGCCTAGCACAGCACCGTGCAAATAACAGTTTTCATGCTATTTCAACCCAGGACTCAGTAGGCCTACCAAGGGCTATGCAGCTGGGTGAGGATTGTACTGGGGCACTGATGATATGAAGCAACACCTCCATATGAGACCTACCCATGTGGCAACCCCAATCTCCATGATTGTAGGCACATGATTTTCACCCACTACAATTCCATCAACTGCCTTAACCACATGTGAGGCTCTGCTTGGAAGTATAGGTTCATACACCATGTTTATCCTGAGCCTGTCAGGCAGTTCACTTGTACAGACTCATCCACAAGAAACAACCAACACATGAAGGTGATTTGTGGTATGTTGTTTGAATGCAGCAGTAGCCTGCCACGTGGATTGGACACAAGTCACAGCAAAGCAAAGCAAAGAGAGATATTTGAGAGAGATTTTGAAGCTACACGTGAATGACATGCATTCTGGAGACAGATCCATCAGGGAGCATTTTTAAACCTGCCTTCGGGTGGCTTCAAGTGATCTGGCCTTCTTCGAAATCAGAATAGAGGCAGATTAAATAGATGATATGAGTGATTCCAGATTCTTGTTTGCTTCTTTTAAGCCCATGGTGGTGGTGATTTGGATTGATATTGGCAGCAAGTTCCAAACTGCAGTATGTTCCTCACCAAAAAGAAAAGAAAAAGAAAAGAAAAAAAGAAAAAGAAAACCCAGACAAAACAATTTTCACCTCTTGCATAGGGACAAAGACTTCCTGATGAGTCAGCTACCACAGTTCAGGTCTCTTGGATGCCTTCAGATATCTTTTTAATTCAAAGGAAAACAGAGTTTGGGTGCTTTTCGATGTAATTACTCCCCTCCCCCATTTTGAAGGCTACTGATGGAGAGAAAATTAGCTGCAAACACCACATCCAAAGGAGCTGAGGAAAAGAAAAAGATAATAAGCAGTTTTGTGGCATTTAATTTACTGGCAGTAGATTTGTAGCGGGGAAAGTGGCAACTAGCCAGTGGACAACAGAGTATTAATTCCCTTTTATATTTAAAGCTTGACAGTCTTATTTCTCAACGATTGCAAGCTGTATTTCAGAAAGTTGAGAAGAGAAAATAAACCTTATTAGAAGAACTTTAGAACTTGAGACCTTTTGAGAGTTTATGTGATTACTGATTGGCATTTCCAATCACAAGGCCTGTCCAGAGTTACCATACCGAGTTCCCTTTACATCGGTTCTACCGAAGAAGAGCAAACATCCCGCATTCCCAGTATACCTGCAACATGACTTATTGTATGTGTTCACACTTCATGGAATCCTTCCTCCTCCTCCTCATCATCATCAAAAAAGTGGGTAAAGATTCTGCATACATTACATTGCAGTGCCAAGCAGTGGACATGCATTTGCTGTCCAATGTTAGTGTATGAAGTAGCTTACAATAGACCTACTTGTGAGCTCTCCATGGGTATTGGCGGGCTATAGCAGGGGGGAAAGAAAGATAACTTGATGGCCTGATTCAGCTGGACTCTGGGTGTGGGTTTTTTTACTAAAACTAAAAATTGATTATGAATTAGCATTCGCACAAATACATCCAATAATCCCCGTATTACCTCTAAGCTTTCAGAAGCATGTGTTTGCTGAATATTCATGTATGCAGTAGCCATGGCTTGTGTTTTCAAGTTTGGCAATGGCAAAACCATTTCACAAAACAATATGTTCTTAAGATAGCATTTGATTCCTCCAGTTAATTGGAAATGACTATGTGTGATCTGGTGCCAGATGTTCCCTTCTATAACAAATCATTCCATTTATTTATTTTGCTTTTCTGTAGACGTGATTATGTAGACAAATAATGAAAGTAGAAGTTTGGGGATGTAATTAAATTAATCTCGACAGGAACTGTGCTTGTATGAAGGGACACATAAGATCCCAAGATCCTGTTACCTGCTTAGGAGGACGGCTGCTTTATTTTTTAGCTGTTTTATCCCTCTTCTTCTTTCTTTCTTTTACCTCCTGTTGCATTCACAAACATCCTCCTTGAAAACATGTAGTAGAATCATAAATATGTGCACAGTGGCATGTATGAAAGGCGGGTGCAATAGTTCAGGGAAGCAAACTGAGAAATAAACACAAGCTGACATAATTATAACATTTTATTGTTAATATTTGATGCAAAGGCACTTCCAAGTTGTAACAGATATCACGAACAAATGCTGGCACTTTGAGATGGTGTTGCCTTTTAAAGTGGGGGGAAAAGAGACAGCTCTCCGTGCTGTTTTGCAAATTTCTTAAGTTTCCTCGACCTTTACCTTTTCTTCAAAGGGAGGAACAAAACCCCTTATCCTTACCATTAAATTTTCCCACAACCCTGACCTACTGTAAATTCCAGCCCTTATTCCCCACTGAAATAAGTGAAGGTTTGTGGCCTTCATTCTTCCAATTCTGCCTCTCTGGTCCGTCTCTTTATATGAATTGATCCATTCGTCCTTTCTTCCTCTGATTCTTGGAGCTCCCTCGCTGAAGACACACGTGGCACCCCCCCTTCTTTTTTCCTTTAGATCTACCAATTTCATTCAGCCTACACATGCATCCCTGTGGTCATGCTAAGAGTATGTCCACCAAATGGTGGAAACATATATGGAAATGTTAGCTGAAAGTTGGTACACGGTGAGCAAGAGTCTGCTTCTGAATTTTGTTTGCCCCAAATCTTATGGAATGTATCTCTGTAGACCTCTTTGGCACGAATCTACCCAGCCACAGCAATAAATTATATGGCTGTTTCTTGCTGCCAGCACAAACACTGCATCTGAACTGATAAAAAAAGAGAATAAGGCAATAATAGGAATGTTTGTTATATTTCAAAGCAATAAAAAAACCCACCTCTGCTGATTCAGTTTTACTGGGAAATTTAATCATGTTTAAAATCCAAACTGACAGAGCATTTCCTGCTAAGAGTGGTGGAGGACAAATGTGTATTTTCTGTGCTGCCATAGTTGTGGATGGGGGGGGGGGGGGAGTCTGTTACCAGAACTACTTGGTTATTGGTTTGCGGTGTCGAGACAATAAGCAAAATCCAGCAAATATTGCTGTATTGTGGGTTGCAGTGGGGCCTAAAATAGTACAGGCTGAATGTTTATATATATGTTTGAGTGCTTCCCTGCACTTACACACACACACACACACATTCCCCAACTATTGTACATGTAGTAGCACAATGCATCAGCGGATGTGTCTGGAGAGGCTGCTAATTGCGTGGCTTTGTCTCTAAATTGTATTGACATCAAAGGGACTTAAGCATTTAACTGTTTCATCGATTTCAGAGGGACTTAAATCACAACTAACAGCTGCTAGAATGTACCAAATGGTGTGTTTGTTTGTTTGTTTCTTGTTAAAATGTACTCACAGTATTGCTAAATATCAAAGTGAGGGTGAAACCACAGAGACTCTTGTTACGCTGTAAAAGTCTGCTGGATAAGTATGAAGGGATACACACACACACACACACACACACACACACGAACTTCAGTTGGACAAAAGTGAGGTATATTTCCATAACCCAGGAATATTTTAATTGGGTGTTACTGTCACTGTAAATTCTCCTCTGTGCTAATGCCATTCCAGGTGCACTTGGACTGAGAACTAGTGGCCAGTGAACTTATTAAATACACTATCATTTGCACTGTTTATAGTTTGCACTGAAGTCTCATAGAATCATAGTACTGTAGAGTTGGAAGGGACCACAGGGATCATCTAGTCCAACCCCCTGCAATGCAGGAATCTTTCACCCAACACGGGGTTCAAACCCCTGACCTTGAGATTAAGAGTCTCATGCTTTACTGACTGAGCTATCCCTCTGTATCCTGGCCACTGACAACAAGGATGATATAAACAGTTCTAAAATCACCACAAGAATAGACACAATGAAATGCATGAATTTCAAAGCCATGTGAAGTGCTTTTAAAAATTGTGTGTGTGTGTTTTAAGTGCTGTGTATACATAATAGAACTATTAACGTTTACGGCACAGTACTATATATGCCTACCATAAGCAGACCCCAGCAAATTCAAACAGATTCCTCCCATGTAAATGGATATCGGATTGCAGCCTTTATTTCTTAAACAAATTGTAACAGAGTAATTTTCTATATTAATAAGAAAAAGAAATATAGGCACTGTTATTACCAAATCACTTTGATATTTCAGCTTGTTACTCAATATAATCAATGGTGTATTGTGGTTGTAACACAGATTCAAATAAATTCCGTTTTTCATATTTCCATATATTATTTTTTCCTCCTCGCTTCTTGATAATCCCTCTGAAAGTGTGACCTTTATTATATATAGCCACATGAAATGCTTGTAGTGTTTTGAACTCCCTGGTTCATAGAATCCTGAAACTCCCACTTCTGCTTCTTAGAGTATTGTTCTAATCCTCATGATTGCAGCTTGAAATTATAATAGCAATTTGTGTGCAATCCAGGGCGATTTAAATCATTGGAAGGATATGGTGTGTATATATAGTATAAAACCTCAGGAACCCAAAGCAAAAATATGTTTAAAAATTAATAGCCTCATATTGTTCAGATTATTATGCATTTGTCATGACTTTAGATGGGTTGACTCATATTTGTTACTAACAATTCCAGTGCGTGAACATCTCAGAATTAAGTGCAACATTTCCATTAGCAATGACTTGGTTTTCAGTGCCCAAGGCAGAATGATAAGCAAATCGTGTTGCAGCGTAATACAAAAATGCAAAAGAACAGCAATTTTCTGTCATAATGTGGCAGCAATGAGGCCCAAATGCCAAATACTTCAGCATTTCCAACTCCATCCTTCCACAGAAAGTACATTTACTCAGCACATTCTCCACAGATTATTCATTTGTGGAAAAGATCACTAAATTTCAAGGCCAAATTACATGTTATGCTAAATATGTCACTTGTAGTTGCATGAATCTTTTAAAAAATGTTCGTAGCAGCTGTTGAAGGACCTCAGACATGACACGTGGGAGGAGATCAACATTTTCTTTCACACCATGGTCCTGACAACTATCTCACTGCCACCCCCTGCTATTTTCAGTTCCCACTCATGCCAGAGGAAGTTCCCTTCCAAGGTCTAACAGCTTCAGGATGGTGATTTTTGTCAGGTCCATGTCACAGGTGCAAAGGTTAAAGAAGAGCCCTCCTGCTTGCCCATCCCACTCCCCAGCAGCTGCTGTTTACTATTTTAAACAGATTTCTGCAGCTACAAGTGATGCAATAGCTTTGTGTATCATTTGACTCTCAGTGCTCAGAAAATTAGCTCCAGTGTTTGCACATTCATTGATTGCCTAACATTTAATAATTCACAAGATCAAACATGTGACACATGCAGACCCATTGGTTTAAGTCTAGATTAGCCCAATAATGTAGGTGGTGGTGATGGTAATAGGGTGTATGGCATTTAGGGCAAAAGAGAATGGGTGGTGTTATGTATTCAGTTGTCTGTGTTTTTCTGAGCTTGAGTCTAGGCTAAGGATTCTTAGCCCCTGTGTTCTGATTCGGTAAAAGGTAAAAGGTAAAGGACCCCTGGACAGTTAAGTCCAGTGAAAGGCGACTATGGGGTTGCAGCACTCATCTCGCTTTCAGGCTAAGAGAGTCAACATTTATCCACACACAGCTTTCCGGGTCATGTGGCCAGCAGGACTAAACTGCTTATGGCGCAACAGAACACCATGATGGAAGCCAGAGCGCATGGAAACGCTGTTTACCTTCCCGCCACAGCAGTACCTATTTATCTACTTGCGCTGGCGAGTTTCTGAACTGCTAGGTTGGCAGGAGCTGGGACAGAGCAACAGGAGCTCACTCCATCACAGGGATTCGAACCACCGACCTTCTGATCGGCAAGCCTAAGAGGCTCAGTGGTTTAGACCACAGTGCCACCCATGTCCCTTCTGATTCGATACATGATATCCAATCATGTAGCATTATCAGGTTTTGGGCTACTGGCATTGGCCCTTAAACTCATGATTTATAGCTTGGAATTTTAGGCAGCCAATCACGTTGGGAATGGGAGTGGCCCAGGCCTTCAGAAATATATATAGGCAGTTGCTTTGTCCCTGTTGTCAAGTTCTGTTAGTTCAATAAACAATCTTGCTGTTATCACTGTCTTGCCTCATGGAACCCACCTACACTTCAGGTGAGGAAAGTGGAACTCTCAGTATACCTCCCTTTCAACCGAGAGGCTGTCAACATGGTACTTTCAACAGCCATGGATGATGAGAATGTTCCACATTGGCTATCCATGGCATAGCTCTTCATATTCGCTTGTCCTTAGTGGTTTTCTTTCCCAGATGATCTCACTGTTGGTATCAGAGCCCACCAGGAGAAAGAAGACATTAGGAAATATATCAGGGGTAGGTTTCAGCATCCAGGTTTTCAGCACTCTCTTTCCTCAGACATCCCCCACCTCTCTGGAATTCGTCCAGATATGAATTTAAACCAATGAGTTTAGCACCAGCTAAACATGTGACCTAACTTCATTAAAAAATGTTTTGGAGGATTGAAGAGCCACCTTGAACAATTAGAGACCGAGCATTGGCAGTGAGATGAGAGATCTCTGCTAATACCTGTCTTTATTACAGTTTTTTATTGTTTTGTGTTGTATTTTTGTTTATCACTTACAGATTTTTAAATATTAAGTGGTTTAAAAGTGCTTTTAATCCTGGATCAGTACGGCTCATCACCTGCAGATCAAGGGTGATCAAGTTATTCAGTTATTCAGTGTTTCACTATTTATTTCAGATGTGGTACAGAGATAAAAGGGAAGTTTTAACAACCGCCGTATGTTCCATTTCCAAATTGTAATGCCAATACAGTTTAAAAAATATATATTTTAAGAAAACATGTTTTCTGAAAGGGCAAGACTAGTCTTTTCAAAAGGGAAATAAAAATAGAAATCTACAGCTTTGCCAAATTCTTTTCCAGGAAGTCTGATACTGAGGATAATATTGATGCATTAATTAGTCTGTTTGGATAAAGAATTCATTTAGATTTAATAAAGGTCCTGTTCTTGTCATTGCATAGATATTTAAAATGAAATCTGATTAGCATGCTGCTGTGGGCAGCAAAGAAAATGGCCCAATTCTGTTGCCACAATCACCAAAAGGCAATGGTCAGTTCACATCAGGCAACTTAATGCAGTCAGTGGGCTGGAACCATAGGGTCTGTATGCTGCATGCTGTTACTTCTTGTAAGCTGTTAGCTGTTTTTATACCTCAGTATTGAATTTCAGAAGGATCAAGTCTGCTGTTGGACATTATCTTAGAAAATGGCTTTGCGGAGGGGGTATATAGTACTCATCACATTTGATGATGGTACAATAATGGTTTGGGGTTGCAAATCTCTAGCTGTGCCCAGAGTAGAGGGTCGTGCAGTCAATATCAGAATGAAATTCAACCAGGACAAAATACATGCATTCTGGGAAAATATAAAAGTTGGGAAAAAAACTGACCCGACTATAGCAGTTCTTAGGGTGATGGGTGAGATTAAGCTTAGTGCGGGGTACAAAACAAGCAAATCAGCTGTGGTGCTTAAGAACAATGCCATTTAAGACAAAACATGGAACTTAGTTTTCACATTTTCCTAACATAATAGGCATGTTGAACTAACTTCATAGAACATATTCCAGAAGTCCAGTTTTGAAGTTACCAGCTCTGTGGCCAGGCTGTGTTGATGGAGGAAGAACCATAGCTAGTGCTTCAGTTGGCTCCTACCCTCTGTGGCAAAAAAATTAAAATAAAAAATAGGGGAAGCCAGAGCAATACCAGTTACATATCTGCTATTACTTCAGAAGGAGTGCAACTCTGTCTAGAACAGGCAACCCACCTGGGTGCAGGAACAACATACTTAGTAGTCCTCCATCTTGTCAGCACCATCTTTTTGGCCCTCATCCTGCAGCCCTCCATGGTCTTTAAGCACTGGTCCAGGACGTACAGCCACACCTGGCACAGATATAACAGAGAAATAGAGATTGGTGTCATCTTTATGCTGGTGATACCTCAGCCCCAGTCCCCTAATGACTGTTCTCAATGGCATCACGGGATGATGCCAAAGATTCAGAGTAGGAAGAGCTTGTAGTGCCTCTTCACCTCTCCTGTGTTGTCCTCTTCTGATGCAGAAGACTGTAGCTCAGAAGCCCTGGTGAAACTAGGGTCTCTCACTCTGCCCCAGCAGTCAATGACTGCTAATACGGCTACTTTCAGAAAAGGTGGGGCTAGCTGCTGAAATAGCTGCTATCCAAGATGTAGTCTGGAGATGTCTGCTGCTAAAACAACATCTGAGCTCTGCTCCCATGATGTGTTTAGTCTGTGTTCTGCATGGAACTGTTCAGGATGCCCTCACCTCTGCTGAGGCCAGTGCTTGCAACAATGCTTGCAACTCTGGATATAGAGTGAGGGTTTTGAGATGTGGCCACACTACAGCCACCTTAATGATGGCTGATTCTACTACCGTTCAGAAAGATGCATTTGCTTCTTTCCGGACCCCCTGGCAAACACCCCCATCTTGCTTGTTTGAAGCAGCCATGATGGGCAAGGGTTGGGAGGGCATGTGGTTGGCCAACAACCACAAGAACTATTTCCACATCCTCAGGCTTCAATAGCTGAAACTAATCCCATAATACCAGACTGGAGGGTGCACTGAACAACTCACTTGGACCTGTCACAACAATGGCATCCAAATCCCAATGGAGATAATTCATTTAATTTTTCAAGTGCCTTCCAAACTTCCTGCAGCAGGCTTCTGAGGGGAGAATCCAACTAATTTGGAGGACAATCCAATTAAAGTTAAGCAAATTGAAATCCCTTTGATTTCAATAGAAGATTTAAGTGCATGCTTAATTCTCTCTGATTCAGATCAATGGGGTTTCAATGTGCTAAACTGTGGCTGGATTGTGCCCAAAATTATTGTGTTTATGTGGAATTTAGGACCACAGTAGGGGAACTTTCTTTAAGTACAGCAGTAATTCCTAGCTCAAATAGAATTCTGTTAATATCAACTATATCATTTCAAATCAGATGACATTGCTGAACATATAGTAGTCATTTCAACATGTTTCATCCCATTAAGTTTTTTATGATATTTTTATTGTACATTAAGTAAATGCTCCTCTAACCTTGCACTGCCACATTTTACTTCCCATGGCATTTTCAATACACAACATTCATTAAAGGGTATGTTATGAGCTTAAGTGGTACAATGGACCATATCACAGAGAAGGAGATTAAAGCCATTAACAGAAATTACAAAGCAAATACTTTCGGAAGAGATATGGCCATGCAAATATGTACATTAAAGAGAGAAGACATCACTGGGAAGGAAACTTTGTATAGCAGTGGAACTCCCAGCTCTCCCCATTGGACCCTTGAAGTCATTTTGGCCAAGGCACGCCTGTATGCTCTACCTCTGACATAATATATGATTGCCCGTGTTTGCAACATGCTGTGCCTTTGTCCACATGGTTTGATTTCAAAGGAAGTAAAAGGAAAACAGGGCACTGTGGTGTCATTGTGATGTCACATGATTGACTGGTGTGAGGTTCCACCCACCTTTCAAAGTTGACCTGCAGAGGAAGGGGGATGTCACAATCTTGCCCACAGGCTAGATCCATCTTCCCCCCAAGCCCTGGTTATATAGGATCACATAGGTTGGGGACAAACACTAGGTTTTGAGAAGGTATGGTAAATGTCATCAGTATTCATGATGTATATAAACTTTTCTTTGTTCTCATCCAGTTAGAATCTCCAGTTATATAGGCTTCACAGGTTTTTACAGTGCCACAAATGCCAAAAAACCTCTTTACTGGAGGTGATGGTACAAACAATACTGTCACCTACACTCTGAAGGCAGGGAAGCACTACTGTCTGTCTCCAGACAGAAACATTCTGAAGAGTAAAAAAAAAGAAAAGAAAGAAAAAGAAATAATCCAAATATTTTGAAACTTGCAGAATATTCTGCTTTTGAGGTTCACCCAGCACTGTCATAGTAGCTGAACAAAGCTAACCTGCTTATTGTTCCTCCAACAATACGTGGCAATCAAGGATAGTTTAAAATACTCTTCCAATTACTGCAGCAAAACTCATTTTATTGTGAGAGAACAATGAACCAAATATTACTTGCGTAGCTTGCCATGGCACAACAAAGAATGCTAAATGCCTGCTCGTCATCTTTCTGGGGCTAACCTATTTTTCCTTGCAAAGTAGCGTCTCTGTAAGGGCACACCCTCATTATGTTTATTTTGGGGTTTGAAGATATTTATGCAATAACAACAAAATCTGACCCCTAAATCTGTATATGTTGGAGCTTCTGGCTGTGCTGGGCCTTATCTGGAATAGGACACAATGGACAGCACCAAGAAGTTGAAGGAGCAAGAGAGAACAAGTGGCAGGATGCTCTGTGTGTTTTAGAAAAGGAAGCCCTCCTTCAGGGCAACATTAAATATTGTCATTGAGTAGTACCTCATACAACAGTTGACCATTGATGAAATTTTGGATGGCTGTCTCTTTATGGGATTCTTGAAAAAAAAATGCTGGACTAAATAGATCTTGGTCTGATCAAGCAAAGTACTGATTTTCCTCTGCAAAAAAATGTTTAACGGGATCACTTAGTAGAGATTAATATGTGCATTAATTGCCAATAGATAATGAGTATGCACTTTTACTTTGTAAATTTAATACATATACAGCCAATTTGAGTGCAATGCTAAGTTATTGGTGTCATGAAAACAGGCCTCAGGCTCTTCTGCTCTCCTCCTCACAGAAGAGAAGGATGAGAGAGGCAACTGTACAAGCCTGAGCTTGTGCAGGTTCATGACTGGAGTGCTAAACCCTACCTGAAGTGCTCCCTTTGCTGTTGGGCTGGCAACGTAGTTTGGGAGGCTCCTGGCCCCTTGGACCCAGGGGAAGGTGTCTGTAAGGTTACCAGCTCTGTTTACGGGCCCAGGTGCTGTGGAATTTGGTTCAGTGGTCCCCTGATCACGAGCATCAAGGTCAAAGTCAGGAGACCGGTCTAACTCCTGCTGCAGTGACTCTGTAACTTCCATGTCCTGGTCACAACTGGACTCCAGGTCACAATGACTCATAGAATTAATGAAGAAAAAAGTTAGATTCACTGATGTTATGTACTGAAGTTCTCATCCTGGGCCAGCAGGGGGATACTGTTGATAGTTATGCAAATAAGGGATCGAAAGTGACGTTCAGTGATTGGATAGTTTTAGAAAATTGTTACAGTTACATTGTACTGGAGCTCTATATAAGCAGGCTGACTGAGCCCTTCAGTTCAGTTCAGTTCTGTTCTGGCCTGTGAATAAACAAGAGCTGTTTGAAGAATCACTGTGTCGTCTGATATGTTCACCCACAACTTAACAACTGACATTTCAGCGCTTTGTCCCCTAAGGTAGTCTGATTGGAGGGTCTAATAAAACACAAATAAATAAAGGCAGAAGTTTAATACCACATTTTTTTGCTGACGTTTCTGCTGTGCATTCTAAAGTGCACTGGGCAGGTTTTCCTGGGCCTTATCACTGATTCATGAGAATTAAAGTGCATCTTAGGACATGGGTCTGGTTTTATGTTGGGGGAGCAGAGGCGAGCTATCTGTGATATGACTGGTCAGTTAAGTATTTTTATTTATTTACTTGATGGGGGGCAGCGGCCCCCTCTGCCCCCCTCCTTTGGCTAGGCCCAATGAAGTCAACATTCTCCTTCAGATGCACATTTCTGGGGAAGATCACTACTAGCAGTGCATAAGCTGTATTTCAGGGAATCTTGATCTACTCATTGAGGAAAATGTAATAAGCTTCCATGGAAACACAGCCTGAAAACCGACAAAATAGGAGATGGGAGAAATGTCCAAGGCACACTAATATTGTTTAAAATGCTTAAGACTAGCCATGCAGTGGTACACACTAGAGGGTGCTAGCGCTTAGAAAATATTGCACAGAGTGTGTTCTTTGATTATCATAAACAAGAAAGCCAAATTAATGTGGGTTGCAAACAGTTATACCTGAAATTGCAGCACAGTCTTTTCCTTACTTTTGAGAATGTCCCCAAAGAAGCCTATTTATGAAAAGTAGATGTAGCTTAGTACAGTGGCCAAGAGAGTGGGCATCTAGTTCAAACCTCACCTGTGTCATGTACTTACATGGTGGCCATGGGCAAGCCATTTCAGCCTAAATCCTGGCCTTGTTCCCTGTCTCATCTGCAGTGTGGGGCTATGATTCCTGATTTACCTTAATGGTTTGTCGCAGGGATTATTGAATATCTGTGTGGTGTGGTACAGAGAAGTATTATGTGAACACAAATTATTCTTAAGTGCTAGTAAGAAATGTAACACAGATAATGCATGACTTTCCTCATTTTTCTTTACTTTCTTAAATACATTTTTATGTCATTTTAGCTTTTATGTAGCTCATTAAGCTGTTTTATTGAATAGCATGGTTTTTGTCGTCCCCGTCCCTCTCTTTTCTCATTGGTTTCTCCCCAGTCTTGTTTGTTGAACTCCATTTCACACTCAACATTCCCTTGTGCCCCAGTAGAATTAATCCTTCGGTTTCTAGCCTCCACTATCTCATGGGGGAAATGTGTTCTTCCTTTGCTTTATAAATCAAATGTTCTTTCCACACGATAACTAGCAATTCCACAGTAAACATTCATGCTGTCATCTTTGTTATCAGCTGAGGAAATTATTTTATTTTTCTTATGCATTCAGTCACTTGTGTTTCAAAGAGTAGACTTGGCCTGTCTAGTAGCACCAGAATGCAGTCAAAAGCTGAAGCCATGAGTTTGGCCCAATTAATTCATGATAGGAGATTGGCAAGTGTCCTTTGGAAACCTATTTTCCGTAGACAACAAGTACTTCCTAGTTTTTGCCACATACAGTAGATGTCTGCAACTAGACTTGATTTTCTTTATTAAACATGTTGGATTTGTTTTGTAAATGAAATTTGGATACACACACACATATTATTATTATTTTTTTTGGTGCAGAGCTCACTTAGTCCTGACTACCAACACAGTTAGGTGCTCTTAAGCCCATTGAAATCAGTGGACTTGAATTCTCAGTTGTTTATTTAGAAAATGCATAGCCTACTTTTCCACTAAAATAGCACTCAATATGAACGCCAAACATACATTTCTAATTATACCCCTAGCGTATATAATCAGCAAGGTAAAGAGCCAGCACTAATATAGCTTGATGTGAAAAGGCAGGGGTAAACACCCACAAAGGTCATAACAATGGTGCCGAATAGGGTATTCTACAAAGAGGGCATCATCACCCGCCTACTCCCTGTCCCCTTGCCTAATCCCTGAAAGCAGGTCCTCCTTTGAAGATAATTGCTGGGCATATGGAAGGACCCAGCCCTTCAGATACCTTAGCCCCAAGCCAGTTATGGCTTTATACAGTGCTATTTTTCTAGAAAAAGAGTTGCCGGATCTCACCATGAACACCTCCCTTGTTCTCTTATAATGGCAATGGCACCTACCTGGGAGGTGCCAGAACTGAGTTCAAGTGAGTTCTGGCTGGTAAAAAGCCCTGGCTTTATAGATCAAGAAGGAAGCTGGAAGTCAGTGCAGATCTTTTACGTACTCATTGTATTTACCTCCAGTATTAGGCAGGTGCTGGGGGTCACAAGCAGAAGAGGGCTGTTATGCTCATTTTCTGCTTGTGAGTTTCTATAGGCGTCTGGCTGCGTACCATGGGAATGCCTTTCCGATCCAACAAGGCTCTTATATTCTTAAGAATTGTGATGATACATTCATTAAATTCAAGGGAAGTCAGAGGGAAATTCTCATAAAGGGAGTTTAAAGTGCAGATAGGTTGGGGGTTTTTTTTGTCATGTGTTGGCTGCAGCTGCTACCTTTAAATGTTGTCTGATGTGGACCATTGGCAGTATTTCTCTTGCAGTCTTCAGCCCTTCACGATAGCCCTGAACATTTTTCTGGCATAGAGCTAACTTTATTTTCCTTCACTTTGCCTTCTTAATTTTCATGACACACATGTAAGGTGATAGAACTAGCAGGTCACTATATTCCTTGTATGGTCTCAAGCAGAGTGCCAGGTGTTGGAACACAAAGCTCACTGAGACGTTGCTTTCTCTAGGTTTTCACCAGGGCAAAGCTGATCCATGTGTGTTTGTCAAGGAGGAGGGGCAAAACAAACTGTATTGTTTATGTTTTGTTGATGATCTTCTGATGTTTTGGAAGAATCAGGCTTTTATCAAAGCACCCTAGCTCAGCTGAAGGAGCACTTTGACATGAAGGATCTTGGTGAGGTATCCAACTATCTTTCTCTGCAGGTGGAGAGGGACCAAGCAGGTAATTTTCTGGTACACCAAACACAGAAAATTGCAGATGTATTAACCAGGTTGAATTTGGTTGATGCAAACCCAGCAGACACACCGATGGTGACAGGTTACCAGGTAGACAGTACTGCTGAAGCGTTTTCTGACACTACGCTGTACAGGTGCATTCTAGGCAAGTTGAATTTCATTGCTAGATGCTCAAGACCTGACATAGCTGTAAGCACTAACCTACTTAGCAGACATGCTAACAATCCTACTGTTCAGGATTGGAAAGCTCTGAAGCGCATAGCCCGCTATTTGAAAGGGACTTTGCACTACAGGCTGAGGTTCACCAGTCAGAAGACTGGAGGTCTTGAAATCTTTGCAGATGCAAGTTTTGGAAGTGACACCACGGATGGTACAAGCACTTCTGGAGTATGCTACATGTACAACCACTGCCTGTTTGACTGGTTGTGCAAAAGCAGACGACAGTGAGCCTAAGTTCCTGTGAAGCAGAACTCAATGCTCTGTCATTTTCACTCATGGATTGTGAATGGTTGATGCAACTGTTTAAGGACATCAGAGTTTCTGTGAAATGTCCTGTACAAGTGT